TAAACAGCTTTAAAGGGTACAAAAGACATCAGAGCTCTACCTCAGCGAAATCCTATACTCCTCATCTACCGAAGCTCTGAACTTGATCCTGCATCTGCCTCCGCTTGAGATATTTGCTCGAGAGATAGCCGTTATTAAAGCCTTAAGACTTAGATAGGCAGGTTCCTGGACAAATAATACATCCAGCCACTCGAGAACCTTAGGTTCGATGGCGCTTATACCGGTACCTGGAAGGACTGACGTATGTATATATTGATGTCTCCAAAGTCGACAGAAAAGTCTTCCCTCCAGAGCTGGAACTATAAACATCTTTTTGACTTCCTGGCCACCGTAGTGTATACCAGGCAGAGGTGCTGGCCATCCAGAAGGCCACTCGGCACCTGGTAAGAAGATTTTAAGGAGAAAAGGTATTTATCTTCTCTGACAGTCGATGAGCTCTGAAAGCTCTGAACTCTTGCGTAGACAGCACAAGATCTCTCATTGAATGCCGCAGATCTCTAAACGAGATGGATTAGCAGTACAGACTCATATGGGCGCCTTGACACCGAGATATTGAGGGTAACTGCAATGGCGAGGAATTGGGAAGGAATGGTACTACCGCCCCATCTTTCCGGGAAAGGACTTGGTAGGTATACAATTGGCCACCTTTAAACTACACGTTAGGAACAGTACCATACAAGCAGCAAAAGAACGCTGGGGAAATCGCGAGGTTTGCGGGGCCTTCTTATTCATTCTCACACGAACTCTTACAAGACACTGTCAAAGCGGCGTACCTACATGTGTTTGTGATTTAGAATGAAAGCACCGGACTACTGTCATACGGCACTTACCTGTCACTGTCCAGCACTTAGCAGAAGACGACCACATACGCTAGGAAAATTAACATAAGTATGAGCATTATCAAAGTTTATTACGTTAAGGAAATGGTTTGATCGCGAGTGAGCGTCGCACCTCTTCGCATACCCCCTAAAACGCCACTCAACTAACGCCCCTCTCCCTATGGATCAGCTCAGTTGGAGGGGCTCACTTCCTGGGTCTCCCCTTAGTTGAGCTTGACGACAGTGATTGAGGGACAAGCCGATCTAGGAATGGCTGAGTAGCCGCTACAACAACAAAAAACATCGCGAGTGAGCGTCGCAAGATCGTGGAGGGAATGAAGATTGCATATGGCATCACAATGGACCTATCTTTTGGCCTCTTGAGCATCAATATTATCAAACAAATTCAAATCTTATATTGGACTAATACCAAAAAGAACTAAACTTTACAAGACTTACCTTTAATTCCTCCTGTCTGCGATAAGCTTGTGCCATCATACGTCTACGCATATCTTCGGTTAGCACAGCCTCACGGCCTGGTGGACCCTCGCCATGTTTATTTATTTTCACTACAACCTAAAATATAGTCAAAACATTCAGAAATGCAAATGCACGTTTATGTATGTAGACATTTAGTACCACCTGCTCCTAGCCAAACTTACTTTCGTCTTATCATTCTTGCCAATGTACTGATTTAATTTCTTTTCGGGCAATATCTGCTTGCCAGCGAACCACAATTGTGCCTGTGACGGTTCGATAACCTCACGAGAGGCCTGCGTGCCATGCAAGTCCTCAGTATTGGCGAATTCCATGCGTATGGTATCGTGTGGTGGCAATTGCATGGGATAGACAATCGTAACGGCACCGCGCAACAAATTCAAAGCCTCACCAATATTTTTCAAATTCAACGGTTGGCGCGCTGCCACTAGTTTCTAGGCCATTTGATTGTTGGTCGAATTTAAAATCAATGATAATTTTAGCATTCATACTCATTGCTTCAAATCGCATACGTATGTATGTGTGTGTGTTTATGTACATACCTTATCGATTATTTTCTTAGCATCTTCCATTGCCTGCTTCAACATTTCACGCATTCTTTCTTGCGGCTGATGTCCATTACGACGTCCAAGTGGATCTTTATTGACAATGAAACCACCTGCTGGTATACACTTCTCAGCCCAAATGTCGCTCAATTTTAATTCTTGTACTTGCTCATCGGTTAGGCCAACCATTTCCGGCGGCAGCATGGTGCCATGTTCGATAAGCTCCTCAATTTCCGAGCAAATGCGATAAACCTTTAGGCGACCGTTATAAATAGCGGTAATCTCGCGTATAACTTGAGTGGTGCCTTCATCGACGCTGGTCTCGTAAATGAACAGATTCTCGTCGCCGCGCTTGACATGCAAGAGTACCATTTTGGCTTGAGTTGTAGGTGAAATTGAGATTTTCGCTTTTCTCCGTAGAGTTTATTAATAATTATTTATGTTGCGGAAGGGGAACTAACTGCGTTTTATATACGAAAACTGTTGAATTGTAAAAATATCTACATATGTATGTATTTATAAAGGACAAATATTTCAAAGTTGAATTCTATAACAAAAATTTATCAACACCGGAAAACAATTTTCTGACAACTTCTTTTGTTAAAATATTTCTTTCGACTGATGGTGATATTTGTATCAAAGCAATTGCTTGCTTCTCCTTAGCGTCTTGTGATAAATTGTTAAATCGATTTGATAGCGGAGTGGAGTTACTATGGCAACCTCATGGTTCTCGAGAGACGAACGGGTATTCCCAACATACTTAGCTTCGAAAGACGATAGGGGCAATAAGAACTTGCTCCACGAAAACGATCTCCAATATTATTAAACTGATATTTCTCATCTACCTTCATATATATATGTCCATATATCACACCTCTTCAGTATTTGTTGTAATACTCAAAGAAAGAAGGAAGAAACCTTCTGAAGGTTGGTTGGAGAAGTTTAGACAAATAAAAATTAAACAATAGTGGGCATAGGATGTACCACTTTGTTGGACCCGTTTTTTAATTCTTTGAAGTTTGGAAGTCTGATGTGCAGAAAATTGAGTATAATGTAATGGCGACTGTCGGTCACCCATTCAGTGCACACAATCGTAACGTCTCAGTTACGGCAGGAGAGAGCATATCTAGATGGTGACTGAGATGAACTGGTTGCGGTCGGTTCTACGAGCAATGTGCAAAAAACTTTACAATCCTCCAAACATAAGCCAAAGGGCACAAAGTCTGATAGAACCACCATGGCAACCGGTATAACGGAGAAACCTTATAAGAAATTTCTTAATGTAAGCATTTATAATATTGAGAAAATTGCCGGTAAGTAAATCACGAACTTAATAAGCGTATCTAATTGTATGATAAAAATAATTCAATGTCAACAAACGCTGTTTTTTCATTCACACTTTCCGTTCTTTAAAAAATTAATCGTAAAGTAATGAGTTTGGAAATAAAATATAAAGAAAATAATATATTTGTAATTGCTAAAAAAAATAAAATACCAAACGTACTTATATTAATACCATTCAATAAGTTGTTAAAACAATAACAAAATTTAAATTAAATATGTAGCGTAATATTTAGATTTTAGAGAGCAAAGAGAATTGCATTACTATGTACTTCAACGTAGTGCTGCTTATATTTTCACAATTTTTTTTCGTATTACATACTCGTACTATAAAAACCATATCACTAAAAGTTACAAATACCTATTTATTTTTGTTTAAAATGCCTTTGAATGCCCATCCCTGCTATATGCAAAAATTACATACATAAATAATTTGAGCACTTACATATTACACAATACCTAAATATTTAAAAATCTTTANGCACAGGAAGTAGTAGTTAAGTAACAAATCAAAAAAAATAACAATTTCATAATAAATAAATTTGCTTAAGGTTAATAAAAAAGGGATAGGTTTAGGTTGTTTCAAAAACTCTCGAACTCACTAATAACATGTCAGATTGTTTGAGGTAAGAGAAGAAACCTTTCGTAGGCTTTGTTAACGAAATATTTGTAAGCGCCTCTATATATAAAGGCTACTAAATACCTGCTAAATAAATACTATAATTACAACAAAGTTATCTATCACTACAGTCTGCTGCATTGTCTAACAAAAACCAATAGCAGCGGCAAGCAAGCATTCTATGCGGGCGTCTATTACCGCAGCAATTTTCGGAAGTTTTCCACCTCGTAAATGCTTGTTGAAAGTCTGTTGAGGCATAATTATGATTAACATTTATTTAGGTTACACATCAAAAATTTTACTCACCTTCCAAATGCATTGAAGAGCGCCACAATTTCTGTACGCGATAGCTTAAAGAGTGGATTAGCCTCTAAATGTGGCCGTTCCCACAGACCATTCTCTGTCGCTACATTCAATTTCTCAGAGTAGAGAATTTTTAAAGCTGTACCAAGTCCTTGTGTCTTTGAAATACACAATAGATTTCAATACAATTATATTAAGTTGAAGTTGGATATATTAGCTTGCATTTACCTGCAATTTTCCCCAAAGTCTGCACTTATCACAACCCACGCAATCCATTATTCTAGATATATTTCGAAATTTCTCTTTGTACTCATTTTTGAATTTTAGCGATGCTACACCATTCGAAAATAGCACATTTTCATTGAAATGCGATGAAAAAGATTCCACAACCGACAATAGATCATTTATAGCCAACTTCACTTCCTCATCTTCCTCCGCAATGCCTGTGTAGTATTCTTCTCGTCGCAAATATGGCGCCGCTTTGGCCAAAGCCCGCAATTCTACCAAATAAATGAAATAAAGATTTCTCAACCAATGTGGTCCTTCGTTCTTTGTTGTTTCCGGACTGAAACGCCGTTTGAATTCCTCAATATTTGGGCCCCAAACCCCCTGAGGATCGAGAAAGTCTTTTGATTCGGAGAGTAAATATTTGGCACATAAATGTATATTAATGCTACTGTGGAGCCCGGATATGATGCGATAGAAGGCACGTTGCTCCAAACATACTTTATCCAAATCCAGATGTGGTATGAAATCGGAAAGCGTTTTGGTTTCATTTTTGCGGCCAAAGCAATTTTCCATATAAATGCTACGCCAAATGCGATGCGCCGATTCTCCCTTATAGCCGGTATAACGCTCAGGATTTATAAGTAAGTCTACATATTGAGCTCCTTTGTGTTGATCTTCTAAAATACAGAAATCTTCTTCGGCCTCATCGTGTCTAGCCCAACGTTCAAATTCGCGATACGCCTGATCGCTGAGGCTTGTATCCAAGTAGCTTAAAACACGATTGTAGTCCTCGGCCTCCGAGCATTCTGATGATTGGGCTTCTTTGGTGTACTGAAAAATAAAATGTGCGTGTTATAAATTGTTTAGCAATATATCGCACGTTTGATAATAACTCAACTCAATAACTCAGTAACTCAAAATTTACGTTTTTGGAGATTTCATCATACAGTTATTAAGCTTGATAAGTAGAACATGTGAACTTCTCAAAAATGGCAAAATGGGTATTTTCAACTGTCTTCTGCCAACTGTATGAATTGATCAAACTTTGATTGCGAGTTCCCATAAAATTTAAATTTAATGAAATACTTCTGTATATTATTAAACGTGCGATATGTACCTTTCTATTGATGTTGATAGCGATAAATCTCACAGCTTTGAAGAATAAAGAACTTAATTTATAAATGGTTTCCGCCCCTCAAAACGGGTAATAAACCAAATATATGCACATATGTACATGCCAGCCAGTGACACAAGTGATAATGCCTATCAGCAACCGTATGCCACATTAATAGGTACGTCTGTATGTTCCTATAAATATGCTTAATTAACTACTATTGCTAACGAACTTAATGCTTTAACGTGGCAAGCTATAGAAAAATTAAAAGTATACATATGTATGTATGTGCACACGTATTTAAGAAAGCCTATAGGCGATAAGCCTAACTATAATGCTGAGTTGGCTTATAACTTTTGTAGTTGGCTTATAACTTTTCAAGTTGGCATTAGCAAAAGTGCGGGCTGTCGTCGCTAACATCACCAACTAAATTCCAACCTTCAACTTTATTTGTCTACCTTAAATGCTGCTGGTTCCTTATTTTCGCTTTCCTCGATTAGACCTTTGGGAATGTGCTTCTCATCACAATTTTGCACCTGGCAAAAACGCATCGCACATTTGCTGTTATCCACCCAGAAAGGACATGAATTTTTCAAATTCACTTTAAAAAAGCGAAAGAAGTTTTTTACGAGCAGCGACTTAAGACGCGGATATATTTTGATGTTATTGAAATGGTCCACGGTGTCCACGGCGCAACTGCAATCATTTATGGAACCCTTAAGCTGCAGGTGAATGAAGGAGAAGTTAGAAAATTGTAATGATGAAATAATTCGTTTGTATGTGGTAGGTAATTACCTCGCAGAAACAACTTTTGTTCTGATCCAATTCATCGTGGGCGGCAAAGTAGCCGCTACAATGACGTGCCCACAATATGACGCACAACGTCAGCATCAAGTACCACGCACTCCGGCGTAGAAGTCGCTGAGTAGACATTGCACTTTTTGTATTGCACCTTTGCAGGTTACCGTTTCTTCCCTTTATTGGCTTATATTGTAAGTTGTTTGTTTTATTTAAGATTTTTATTAAAAACCAAATGACGCACGGTGTTTTTCTATGAAAAATCCCCTTTCTCCACACAACCTTTTGTAAAACTAATTGCGGTGAAAGTTCAGATGTAGCAATCGTTTGCGCAGAGGCGTATTGTTTTTGTTTGTGTGTTCCACTTTACATGCTAATTAATTGCGGAATTTCGTAAGCGCAATTTTTATATTTTCTGTCTTTCAATAATTCACAACCACTCACGTCAACTGTAATTCAACATCTATTGTTAAATTGCTTTTTATTACTAATATTTTGGTGTTTTCGTGATGAAAATAAAGTAGACGCTCTCTCTACTTACGTGTCTATTTGTTGTTTTTATTTTGTATATTTTGGCTGCCGTCAATTACGTTATCAGCTGGATTTTTCAGTGCTGCCAAATTATAAAGTTGCATTTTTTTCGGACTCGTGGTGAGTTAAGAAATGCAAGGTGTCCGAAAATTAACGGAAGTGGAGGGAATTCGAAATTCAAGTTTAAAATAATCAAATTTTTTTTTTCAAATTACTAAATATCTCTCCGATCTTTCCAATGCCTTCAGAGCCAAAAATCTAAGCCTTTCTGCTACGAAATCCACCGTCACACTCTTCACCGCATAGACTAAGTAGATTAGGCCAGAACTCGACGTGTATGTATGTATATCGATGGCGCAAAAATAGCGACAGAAAACTATACCAAGTTCGAGGAAGTCATCACATACACAGCAACGTGCGAAAAAATACGAGCTAGGAACAAAGTGTTTTGATCAATAGCCGGCTGCTCCTTAGGAGCCGATAAAGAGGTCGTGCTTGTAAGATACATTGTGATAGCCCGGTTGGTGGTAAATTATGCCGCGATAGTGTGGTCGACAGAATCTAGTGACACGCAGTCGAAAAATCTCCATTTTGCGAAGATCATCTTCTCGACCAAAGCTAAATGCTAGCGGTGAAAGAGCGTAACCTTATGCTATGAAGGCCTATGGGAACCAACTCAAACAACGCTCTGCTACGAAAATGCCCGCTTTCTCCCTGGCACGTGAAATGGCAATTGCAACACATGTGATACTTAGGACATCGAGACCTAAGTAGACTTCGCATTCAGCGAGGTACGATATAAAAAAGATGCTGTGAAAACGTACCTCGACACCCGCAAAGAAAACATCGTGCTAGAAGGCCGAATGCCGTCACTAAATTAAAAGTCCGCAAACAAGGGGATAACCTGGCGGTCTATGGAGGAACCTGTTGAGAACTTTCAAATGGAAAAGTCTGAAATTGATACCAGATTGTTAGCCGTACAGTTTACGAGAATGTCCCTGTGATCTAATCGAATCCGAATCTATTCTCCCGCGGCCGAAAAAGAAGTCAGATATTGCGCTACTAAAATAAAAGCGACTACTTGTATTTGGATCTGAACACCACCATTAAACTTTGAATCCTCTGTGAACGAACCACTGGATTTTTGTCCTAAATGCTCTGCAATCCTGTTTAGTATCTTGAAGATTTGTGAATGAAGAAAAATCCACATGGAGCTAACAGGAGTGTCCACGGAACCGATATGCCGGATTAGAACACAAGTGCCAGAGAAGTTTTGATCCACAGTATTCCACTTTTTTATCGTAGACTTTTCTTACGAATCCCATAAAGCAATATTGCCTTAAATACGTTCTCGTTAAACCAATAAACAACCGTAGCAGTTCTAAATTCCGTTGTCCTAGTTTGGTCACTGGAGGTTAGTGTGAATCTGTGTACGTAGTCCGCACAGCAGCGCGATGCTTATCCTCAATGCTCTCCCTCAGGAAACAATTTTATGCTCAGCAAACAGATTCTGCTCGGCTACTACCAAACGAAACATCAAAACACACACGCAGAGCCACCTTCTGGGTACGTATCTCAATGAACTCATGGCCGAGATCCAGATATACAATTACCACCCATTGCAGACGAAAAACTTCAGCTGCATCGAGATCCCGATAGATCTGCGCCGCTTAAATGTGCATACTATAGTATACTGTCCATCAAAAGATACCCTATATAAGTCCAGCTTCTAAAGCCACCCCATAACCACCAAAGACGACTCTACTAACTGTAACCACACAGATCCATATCTAGCCAAGGACTTCCACTACTTCAGCATTCTCTGAAACCCTTTAGGGCATTTATATGCTGGTACTACAACAACAACCTCTTCATTTTCTCCCTTAAACTCTTGCAGCTAACAGCCATTTCCCTGTGGTCCGGTCATGTCAAAACAGCACGTTTCCTGAGCCTGCTGTTCATTGAACTTAATAGTAACAACTAATAGACCATTAGCAACAACTAATAGACCATGCGAATTGGCTAGGCAGGGCTTAGACAAATATTTTGCGAGCCTATGGAATTATGTTTAGAGGTTATGTTATAAGGCAGGTCAATGAGAAGCCTTCTGGTCTGCTGGTTGTATCGCCCCAATTATATTTTGGCTTGGCAGAGTCCAATAGTGATTCGCCAATTCTGTTAGCTCATTCTTATTGTTTCTTTTCTGAGCTCTATCCTAATCATGTTGGGACCTACTGCAAGGCATGGTTCGGGACCTGTGAAAGTTGAGGTTACTACTCTCCTAACTAATCTGTCCACTGTCTCATTTCCCTACACTCGCCTGTGACCTGATACCCAAAGTAGCTAAAGAGGCATTTAGGGTATCAATATACTCAAGGACTAGTGAAGATCTGACTTCAAANTGAGTGCCGCCTGACTGTCGCTAAGGATATATATCGTCGTTTAAGGTACAAAACCGCATATCTAGATAATTCAAAACCCCGTATGTGAGGTTGCATAAATTATTTTCTAGAGAGTAAAAACACTCATATTTCAAAATGGTTCTCTTTTATATACATAAAGCAATCGCATCTCTGGCTAGTAAATTTCGGGACGAATGGATAAGGATACGCGGTTTTGTAATTTAAACGACGATATGCTCTCATTACGATAGTTTCTACTTATGTAAATTAATCTATGCACACAGATTGATTGCGAAAACCTGCGCTTGAAAAATGCTCGGGTACTTTACCATGGGCACAGATAATTTTGTACGTGGGCCATAAACGCTTTCTGGCGTTTTCGAGCTATCTTTGTACCACTGCATAGTGCCTGCCTGTACATGTCCCGTCAAAAAAGAGCTGTTCCTGGCTGCTTTTCTGTATAGATATTTTATGAAGCTCCCCTCGAAAATGACTGCCTTGTTTATTCCGTCTCTGTGTACGAAAAGACTTTACCTCTACCGAAGCTATCTTTTGCAAAATTAAGGAAAGTGCGCTTGGCTGTCTGCTCTAAGGTAATATGCAGTGGCTGGAGGTCGAAAATCATCTCCATTGCTGCCGGCGGGCATCGTTCCCGTGATACACACACATGCTAAACGTTGACGTTTTTTGAGAAACTATCTCACCATGACTAAACTACATAGTCCTCGAAGCACAAAGCATATATCGCTAGCTTAGAGTGAAAAGTTGCTAAGTCCACTTTTTATGAAAACTCATATTTTGATAGAGGAGGCTAGAGAAATTGAATATGCATCGTTTCGAAAATTATAGAGGTACTTATTTTATTTTTTCCTTTTCATAAGCAATAAAAGGAAAATTAGCTAAGTCCAAAAGAAGCACCACAAATCCGATAAGGCCAAAATAATACGACATCTTTTAATAAATATCGAATGCCTCTGATTCTTATGGAGTTTTGCTTTGCTTTAAACCAGCAAAATGTTTGATTCAAAGTCTTGCGAAATAGTTAAAGAAAATGGCTATAGGAAGATTTTTTCCTCTCCTGTAAAATTTTTAAAATGGGACTTAGCAACTTTTCTTTCTAAGCTAGCGATATATAATTATCGATCTATTTATCATTTGAGTTATCGTTATGTAGTTATATTTATGATATCGATGTAAGTTTTTGTCAATATTATTATCGATATATGTATGTATGTATATATTTATAGTGAAAACCGTACTTTTATAATTATCGACGTATCAATCTATGAAATCAATAATGTAGATAATTAATATTGTTATCGATTTATTAATCAACATAAATGTCGATACATTTTTGTCATCGATATATTTATCGTTATCGAAGTTGCGTAATTTTCCGGCACCAATCGGTATTTTCGCCGTGCTATTCCGGATTGTTTTCAGCACCTTTCGTTTATTGGGCAATGTTTTCCGGATTAAATGAAGAATGAAATGAAATGCATTTCCGAGATTTTTTCGGAGGCTTTGCCATTTTTTCATCACTTTTAGGGATTTTTCTCATTTTACTCCAGACATTGCGATTTAAAGGAGTATTTTAAAAATAAAAAGCAAGAAAATCGATATTTCTTACTCAAAACAATTTCTCGTAATTATTTTTCGAATTTACTACCTTAACGTCTATATAACATATACTTACATATGTACATATGTCATATCACTTAAATATTTACCTAGTATATAACATGTACATATATACTTAGTACCTAAAGGCACAATTTTTACATAGCTAACATAGCATCGCATTTATCTACATAAAAACTGCACCTCATTTACATGCATTCATTCCCATTATTTTTCTTCTTCATCAATCACATTTGATAATTAATTACTAAAAATATTGATTCTGCCACCGTTGTTCACAGTTGAATGCGATCTTTGTTCCCATAACCGCGCTTATCGCTAGTCTTAGTGATCCTTTCGGCCATGCATACATATGTGCATGAAAATCCTAACCTCAAAAAAATCACCCGTTACATACATACATCGTCCTGCCACACACACAGTCAATTATGCAAATGTACAGTTCAGAAAAAAAACTGCTAGAATTAACCCAACATTGTCACTTTCGCGACGGAGGCTGTCAACTCGAAGAACGGCACCAACGATAAGACGATGTCCTTTATGATGTCAACTTACAGGACATAAAAAATGATCTACACATGCACTTTCAACCCTCACTCGACCGCTAAGTAAATTTTAAGATTTTCGTATGCACGGCAGTGTAGTTGTATGCAAATTAGGGGCAAAGAGATTAGGGAAAAAAACGAAGGGAATATTTTAAGCAAATAGGACATCGTAGACGAGAACGTAGGGACATTAAGTATTTAGAATGTAAGATTTTGCAAAAAAAAAAGCGGAAAAAGGTTAATATTCGTGCTTGGAAAGAAAATGAGGACATAAGAATGAGTTAAATTTTTAAGTATTTAAGGATCACTTACATATATACAGACATAAATAGAATCTTAAGACGAAGTTCTTGGTATGAAATGATTCGATATGGAAGATACGGTTATAAGAGCGAAAACCCGATGGCTCCAGTACTAGGGATTCAAGCCCCGT